GTAATTTAAGGGTTTAAGATGATTCATTGGCATTACTTTAGGTATGAATCTTTGGGTCGAAGTGTTGAAGAAGAAATATTAAGTCTTAGTTGATAGTCAGCGGTGTGTATGTCTCTGTTTCTCTCTGTCTGTGTTTTGTCCCTATCGTTCTAGCTGACCATTCACCTAAATTATGTACCAACTATAGTCGGTTGCAAGCTAAGAAAAAACCGGAAATGCCTCTGAGAGGAAAATGTAATCCTACGCCGAGAAACGCCAGCCAATCGTTTTCATGACGTCACGATTCCGCAAACCAATCGCTATCCTTTTGAAAAAAAAAATCTGAACATGGTTGCTGGCCTTAGCAACGCGACGCTAGTTTCTCGTGACAATTATTCTGCTTTTTTGCACCGTGTTTTACGTGCCCGAGGTTACGCCACGAAATCTTAATGGTATCGGCTTGCGTTTGCAGCAGTTTTTGCGCGACAACGTGAGGATCCAGCGACGCTATCGCCAACGAAAATTTCGAAGCGGGCGCGAGGCTTAGCACTGCTGAGAGGCATGTTAGACGGTATGTTAGACAGTATCTTGGACAGAAAATGAATTGGGAAGACGGTACATTGGACATGACTTTCTTTCTTTACTAAACAGCTATTTCGTTGACAAAAACGTATTCTAAATTATTTAAATGTCCTGAATAAATTAAATAAGTATTGTAGTAGTTTAAGACACGTTTCCTGGAGGAAGAAAAAGCAACGTTGCTAGCGAACTACTTTCTCGACGGCGGAGGCACTTCAGATGGGCGCAATGCGCTTGTGGGTGGAGCTAAAAGATTGTTCTCAGGTTGCATCCGACTATAGCTCAACTTCAGCCTGTTATTCAGTTCCTTTCTAGATATTTGAGCTCACCTTTTGTATGTTTTAATTCACTTGACCCACGGACTCTGGGCCTTTTGATCGCCACCACAACCTGCCGGGCGAGAATGCTTTTACGCAGCGTCAATAAGGAGATACTTCTTGACGATGTTCGGCAGCTTTTCGGAGCTGTTGCACCGTCGCAAAGACACGCCATGCGGGTGACAAAGATACTACGGTCAGAAATGTGGCACCAAAAACGCCTTCTCACTGACTTCCTGCGTGCTAAGTGCCCTAACCACAGCGTCTTCAGAAACCAACTGGCGAGGGCGAGGTATTCCACAGAAAGCCTGTGAAAATCCTGGTTTCGTCCTGCCCTGAAGCAACATCTCGCACTGCGGAAAGAAGAACACGCCAAAAGGTGGCCACTCCAGACACTTGGTAATGTCCATCTCTCAGAAAGGACAACATGCATTCTCGAACAAGGACCGAAGTATGCTGCACCACCACAGCTAGAGGCGGTAGACAAGGTTGCCCTTGTTCGCACCATTGCGTCCCGAGCTCACGAAGAGCAGAAATCACAAATTATCACAGAAGGCATTGAGTGCTTCGCAAGCCAAATGTGTCCGGCACGTCCAGGCTTGGGCTTTGGCAGCGCGGTACAAGAACTACGAAGTAAAGATCTCGGGCTTTGTGTCTCAGATAAGGAAGGAGGTTTTGTAGTCCTTGATGCTGGGACTTATGGAGAGAAGGCCAACGCTGCCGTAGAAAAATACTTCATCCAGGTTGATAGGAAACGAAACCAAAAAGCGAAGCTTGCCGCTAAGCGGCTGCTTGAAGATCACAATCTAACCAGCCTGGGCACCAAAGTGAAAACTACGAAAAGCGGACACCTAGAAGTTTTCTTCTCGGCCAAAACACATAAGGTAGGGGTACCGTTTCGTGCCATTCTCTCCGAGAGGAAAACCTGGCAAGCTCATGTGTCAACCTATCTTGCAAAACACCTGTCCCAGGTGCACCGCGATGACCCGTACAGAATTTCTAACTCAGAAGAGCTTATTGCCTATCTTATGGAACATGGATCCCAGGTAGTATCTGGATTGTCCATCGACATCCAGGACATGTACTATTCTATTCCCCACACCAGCCTGACGCCAATTCTACGAGAGCCCATCGAGGAACACGGCGTAACGCCTTTTCAAACCGCAGCACGGATTAGCATAGACGCCTTCTTGGAACTGCTCGGAGTATAACTAACGGCGACCGTGATCTCGTATGAGGGTCTAGACTACGTCCAAAAAAGTGGGATCTGCATTGGTTCTAGGGTGGCGCCACATCTATGCGATCTGTTCTTGGCGGCGTGTGGTAGGCAAATTCAATCCACACTGAACGATGCTAGAGTCAAAGCCATCTTCAGGTACGTGGACGACTTCCTGATCTGGAGCAGCACAGACATCGAAAGTGAAGAAAACGGATGCGGGAGCACGGTCATGAAAACCTTCCATGAATGTTGCCCCGACCTGCTCTTCACTCATGAACTACCCGTGGGCAAGTCTATTAAGTTCCTGGATCTCGCACTTGCGTTTAAGGATGGACATGTGTGCTGGAGGTACGAACCTCGTTCAAGTAAAGGTTTTCTTCCATTCGCATCCTGTCATTCGAAAACCATAAAACGAAGTGTTGCCAACACGGCACTCGTATCAGCGCTGCACAAGTCATGCAACCATCAAGCTGACGCCAGCTTTCAGAAGCAGATGGCCTGGCTTCGTGACTCTGGGTACCCAGGTGTGCTCCTTGGAGCTGTATGTGAGACAATATGCAGAAAATTCTCAAGAGGATCACCAACTACCGAGCGAGATAGACAGACTTCACGAGAGAACTTCGCAGTAGTCCCCTACATCCATGGTGTCACCCACCGGCTCAAAAAGATCGCTGCACGACAAAATGTCAGGGTGGTGTGCTCGGCACCGAACAGAGGGAACTCTATGAAATCTATGTGCCGCAGAGTTAATCGGGCCAAGAACCGCCAGCCAACCTGCAACACCGCGCACAGGACTAAGTACGCCATGTGCCAGACTGGTGTAGTGTACAAGATTCCATGTGATGTGAGAGCTGCTACATTGGGCAGACGGGACGCTGCGTAACTGACAGAGTCAGGGAGCACGCGGCGTCGGTGCAGGGCACGGGAGCTGGGCACCTTGCAGCCCATTGCCGCACGTGTGGGTGCACGCCCAGTTTTAGCAGCGTCTCCATTATTAACAGACACAGAAATGCCTGTGCGCGCGAGATTCTCGAGGCCCTGGCCATTAAGGAAACCGCCGATGACTGCGTAAGCATGCCCTCCATCACGGTCAGCAAGAAAGAAAAACAGTTTTTGCAGTGTGGCACGGCCCCGTGAAAGGGAATAAGAGGGAAATGTGTCGGCGGTGGCATGTCGGTTGAATCAGGGACGTGTTAGTGACCAAATTTAGTAATTTAATGCAATTAATTAATTTTATTTAGTATTTTAACTTAGTAGTGTAATTTTAGGGTTTAAGATGATTCATTGGCCTTACTTTAGGTGTGAATCTTTGGGTCGAAGTGATGAAGAAGAAATATAAAGTCTTAGTTGATAGTCAGCGGTGTGTATGTCTGTTTCTCTCTGTCTGTGTTTTGTCCCTATCGTTCTAGCTGACCATTTACCTAAAGTTTCAGGAGAACAATTAAAAGCCTCATCTGCTGACACGCTGGACAGCAACGTACTGCAGGTTTCACAATGTGTTTCTTAACTCTGAGTAGGACTGGTTTCATTAGGGTTTAAGCCTGCATACGAAAATAATATTTGGCAGATGATCGCTGATAGTTTCTCTCATCACACCAGAAGATAACCCCGTTGTGGAAACATTTGTTAAAAATAGATCCAGCAAAGCCTCGTGCATTGGTGTGTAGGAGCAGGTTGTGAAATAACATTAAGTAATCCCTATGGCTGATATAGTGACATGAAGCCATGTTGATGTTGAGAGGAAGTGATCACATCTATATTGAAGTCGCCCCCGAAATAAAAAGAGAAGTTATTTTTATTAATGAACCTGGAAAACACACTCAGGAACTCAAGAAAGTTAAAATATATATCCACCTGGCGGGCGATACACAAACAAAAATACAAATGTTGCACGTTGCAAAGCTGGAATCTCATAGTCGTTTGTTATTTTGTAAAATCACAAATGACATGACATTCAAGAATGTTTTATGTGAACGCACACACCTACCTCGTTTTAATTGCTTCGATTTAAACAAAATAAAATATAATTGTCTAGCGTATCCACGACATCAGTGAATTTGCACCACGTTTCGCTGAGCATCATAACATCAAAGGAAACAAAAATGCTGTCCAAACAGGTTTGAAAGAAGAGTAATACTAGTGATGGCAACGTTCAATTAATAATATAACAATGCTCATTTTTCAGTTTAAACAAATGGTGAAGCGGCAGGGAAAACGCTTCAATACAAGCTTCACGAGCCCCGATTCCAATCGACAGTGGCACGAAGGCGAGAGGTCCCGTCTTATAAAGCTGCTTCTCTTGTTCTTTCCGATGTTTAGTTGGCGCATTTAAAGAGCGTCGCAGCGCCGTTTCTTCAAGCGCACTTAATTTTTCAACCACTAACAGCGGGTCTGCTACAAGCGTGCCGCGGGCTGGGCTTGATTGGAAAGACCGCGGCCAGCCTCGGGCCGGCCGGAAGACATCAGCGTGTCGTATATGGCCGCCGGACCGGGGTTAACGGACCCCTTACCTAATCTGACCTAATTTAACTATCATCATGTACTGTGATGCCCAACCGACTAGAGCTTTGAGCTCGAATATTGACATGGCCCCTGGCACATGAGGTCATAAGCGTATTTATTATGTTTACTCGTCGTTTTGATAACACAACCCCTGCTCCTTTTGTCACATAATTTATCGTGAACCGTAGACTGTAAAACATTTTTCCACAGTCACAATTTAAAAATCGCTGCTGAGCCTTCTTACAGAAGTCATTAACTTGCGAACTGTTCCAACAGGGCTGCAAAATTCTTCTTACAGAAAAGCTTTTTCAGAGCTCCTATGCCCCCACTCTTTCCACAGCTGTCAGGTCCAGAATCATTCACATATTTCTTTGAAACGAAGAGTCATAATTTGATTCACTTACCCGACAATCCGAAGAATTGAGAAGCTTGGGGCCAAGAATGCTGGCAGATGTAGTCCGTGTGTTGGATCCAAGATAAAGAAAGTGCCCTGATATAAACACAAATCAAAGTGTTTTAGTTGGGTTCATGTATACAGTAGGCTTTCGAGTATCACTCCAAATATCAGTGTACATGATTGAAACTTCGAATAAGACGGTAATATTCTAAAAATGTCTTAAGTATCTCAAAATAATTTGGACTGTGTCCACAGTTTCTTATAAAAGGTTATTTGAGGTTCACCATCCTGTCTTGGAGCATGAGTGCACAGAATGGCAATAATGCGTGCAAATATTCTAAACTTTCGACTACTGATTCGAAAATCAGGGCATTCTATTTTTGCTTTGGATAATATGGTGTACTGTGTATACACTAAAAGATTCGAATATATCAATTTGAAAGGTTTTGAAGTTTCTGATGAAACTATTTTTGGTCCACCGTGTTTAATATCTTCATTAGTGGATTAGGTGCAGCGTGATGCCTAATTCAAAACGAAAAAAGTAAATGTAGCCATTTGGGTGCAAGGCTTACGTTCATGTTCATACATATATTGCTTGATAAGCACTGTATACATGAATTAAATTCCTATTTGGTAAGATTAGATATGTAATTCTCCAACTGATATTACCCTTAGTTTTGTCTTGATGCAAAATGCCCAACAGAAATATATCATAACTATAGTTAAAACTTTAAACATCCACTTGGTGTTTTGTGTTGCAAGATCCGTAGCCATGCATTTTTCAAGCCGTGTACTCCTTGTTCTGAAAAATCGCTGATAATGTTGTCTGGGCATTTCTCCCGTTGCAGTCTAACGGCGTTCTGCACAGGGAAGTAAAAGCTTTAAAATAGAACCGAAGGTGTTTCTAAGTGCGTTACAACATGCTTAACTTGCAGGCGAGAAAATTCTTTCTTTATTATTTCAAGCTCTGCACTATCAGTTGCAAAAACAAATTACTGCTGATAGCAGAAAAGTATTAACATTGGTTGCCAAATTGAAATAGGTGCCACTATAGATTGTAACTAATAAACCCTATTTCTTCTATGTAATATATTGTGTTCATACCATGTTGTATTGCTGTTCCTAATGCTTTATAATTCCTTTTTATTTTCTAGATCGTACGCTCCTGTTTTGACTTAAGAAGTGTGCAGTATTAATAAATAAATAAAGGATTTAGATTCCTAACGAGCTTGTTATAAGATGTACTGGATAACAGAAAGTATAAACCAGAGAGAGGACAAAACACAGACGAGTACTGGTCTGTCTTTTGTCCTCTCTCTGTTTTATACTCTCTGTTATCTAGCACAAATAAAGGTTCTCTAGTTTTCTTTGGCGTGCGAAGGCGGATTCTCTTTCAAAGATTGATATAAAACATGGATTCACGTCTAACTCCACTAGTGACATGTTGACAGGTACCCTGGTTGAACATGAATTTATATTCAGCACCGTCAGCGATGAAACTTCTTCCACTTCGTAACCAAATTAGAAGCATAAAAAAAAGCTTCGATCGTCAACGCGGTAAGCACTAGCAGACGAACTCTGGTTCTGGCAGGGGTAAGATATTATTGCGCATACGAATAAGAATACCCTCTTTGTTGCCAGTGCTGTGGTCTCGCGTTGGTCCCTCTTTCAGATTCCAAGATGGTGACGCCCTCTCCCAGCCATGGCCGACATTTCCGGTGGGAGCGACGGGCATCCAGTCGCAAAAGGAGGAGTCGAAGTTACACCGGAACTTGAAGTCATCTAACGAATGAACAAAACCGAAACCACCCTAGGCACACTGCTTTATGAATCAAATAGTCTGTCTTGATTCAAATTGAGATGCCAGAAGAAATTTTACTAACATTATTTTTGTTCCATGCGAATTTACAAATAAGATTTTCATCTTGCTTTGCTTTTTTTTTTTGTATTCGCCCGACAAACAAATTTCTAAGAACGTTTGGAATAATCACCTCAAAATCACGATTACACTTCAACAAACCGGTGCATTTCAGCATAGGCAAAAGAGTGTGACCTTCTAAAGTATGTCCTAAAAGACGCCTGCCAAGCTGCGAAACTCCAAACATCCTGTCAAATTGTTTACCAAAACTTCGGAGCGACACTGTTAGCACAAACACGACATTGCACTTTTTTTTCGCCTTAGTCAGATTATTGAGAAGTATCAAACTTCACTGAGTAATCTGCTGCCCTAAATGGGGACTTCCCCTACAGTAGTTGTGCTTATGGTAGTCGTTTACATTTAAGAGAAAATCAAAAACACTGGTGATCGCTTGCTTGAGCTAAAAGTGTTGCACCGATAACTTTAACCACTCATGCCAAAGACCCAAACACGATTGATAGCACATCACATAAAATGTATCACACATTCTCAAAACATAACTATATCCAGGAAATAGTTTTGAGGCAATGTCCTTCTTCCTTTAAATTGCCAAAGAAAGTTGACAACGAGTATAAAAATATGTGACCCGGGGAGGGCGTCCCGACTGCGATTGAACTTACCGCAGTTATCTTCGTCACTGTAGTCTCCGCAGTGATCGACGTAGTCGCAACGGTAATCTGTGTCGATGCTTACGTTATTACGGCACAAGAACTTTCCATGCTCCAATTTGACAGATGGTGCTAAAAGGCATAATGAAATTTTGTTTAGAAATGCAGCAGTTATGTTCATAAGCTTAGCCTCATTTATTTATGTATTTATTTACAAATACCACTAACCTCCTTTTGAAGGTCGTTCTAGGACGGTTTAATACATAGAACTGCGCAATAAGCTATAGAAAAGTATAGTGAAAAGTAGAAACTACAGAATAGTAATTAATGCATAAGGTATTCTGATGAAACTATGTAAAGCTAGATTATTTATAAAAAGGGCCATCGTTCACTTGAAGAGAAGCGTGCAAGCTGAAATCAAGGAACTAATAACCGAAGCGATGATAGAATTTAGCTCGCAGCAAAACCTTTTTGACTGTCGTACAAAACGTCCATATGAGCTTTTCTCCGAGAGGAGCTGGCGACTGTTAAAACGGTTGGCAACCTACTCGGCATCGCGCAGTCCTCGAAAGTGACGTCATCCATTGCGGTGTAACCCCGGAGAGTGGGAGACTCTTCAACACGAAATATAATCTGTAAGGAACGAGAATGCAGGATGTTTCCCACTTTTTCCCAGGCCCGTAACATATTGCATAGACATAAAATATTGCATTTCACTTAGCCCTACAAGCCCTATATTGTTTTTTTTTTTTAAATATAATAGGGTGTAGCAGTAAAAGTGTTGTCTTGCGTGCAAGTATTTAGACAGCAGGAGGTTGGTCGGCTCCACTGGGTATCTGGTGTCTCTGTTGTAGATGAGCATTTTGGCCAGTGCACCACCACACCTAGCCTTGGGTCGTTAACAGGAAGCACGCAGTAAAAAAACAAGACCCCACGCCGGTGCGAGGCTATTCCTGATCGAAACGGGCAGGGGTGGGAATTGAACCCAAAATCGCTGGGTTTGGCAAACTTTGGCTCCAAGCTGCGGTGTGCTGAGGTACTTCAAGATATTTACAATTTTTCGTTAGTTTAGAGTCAACGTTCCACCCCCCCCCCCCCCCCCCCCGCAACTTACCATCAAGTCTGTCCGATAACGACCAATCAAGATCTGCCCTTGGTTCCAAGTTCCTTCGGGCCGACGTTCGCCGAGTACCGACAACTCCCACAGGCTGACGAAAAAGTTGTCCACACGCATATTCGCCTTGAAGCTGTAGGTGTGGTCTGCATACAAGCGATAGAGTCAAAGATTTACTGGCACCTTTGAACACGAGCTCTCAGTCTGGGTTCCTAGGAACTCAGTGGTGAGTTTTCATGGACCCGGGAGTTCCCCGGAGTAGCAGCTGGTGCGTGCCGCAGGCTGTCAAAATACCTTGACCGTCCCTGCCACAAGGTAAAGTGTTTTCCAAGTTTGAGCACTATCTTAGAATGTCTGAGACACCCATTCACGGAAAACAATTAGTCAAACGATGCCGGCTGTGTAAATTATTTTACTGGTTTTGTAAACTTCTGCGCGGGTTTAATAAATCAGTGCCGTGTCGGGGGGGGGGGGGGGGGGGCAGTTTCTTGGTCACCGATCAGGAGAGACTAATGTTCCTCAATATAGAAAAGTTTAAAAACATCCCCTCCCCCTGCAATAAATTCGGTGTGAAAAAATGGCGCCGGAAAATATATCCCCGAAATAAAGGGCCCTGGGAAAAAAGACCACGGATAAAACGTCAATGGTAAGAGTGGTCTCAAGTGGCAAGAAGGAACAAATGGTCACCAGGGATTCGAAAAATTATTTCGGGTTGAACTTATTTTGTAATCAAAGACAATAAATAACCTCTCATATTTCCTCGTCACAGTCCTAACCGCATTCTGGCTTGAACAGCTGTTTTTGTTATGTTGCAGTGAAAAGAAACAGGGAGATGCACTTCAACACACTGGCGCAAACATTCTCAGTAGATGCAGAAACGTTAAAATTCGTTGACATGGAGGACAGCACGCAGAAAGTCCTAGGTTCTTGTCGTCCCAGCGGCATACTCCCCTGAGGTCCTTGAGACGGCGCTGCTTTTCGACGAGTGCCGACTTGCTCCTCTCCTTTCGAGGAGAGCCGACTCGGCCCTGCACTATCTATATGGTAACGGTCGTTTCTTTTTTTTTTTTTTTTTCTTTTGCGTAATGCGTCGATGTTTTTTGACGCTGTTGGGTGGCTTATGGCCGTGTCGGGCAATGCTCCCGAGCCTTTTATTCCACGCTTCATGCCAGTGCGTCAAAGGGCATTCCCCTTTTTTTTTAGTTTTTTTTTTTTTTTTTACTTAAAAAAATATTACAGAACTTCAAACCAGAATGCGATTACTGTTTGGGGGGAATATGCGAGCTCTCTATCTCGCATTTCAAAATGGGTGTCGCTGGAAATATATTTTTCTTACTCTCGGGACTATTTTTTCCACTTATCACTTGGGACCATTCTTTCTGGGGCCATTTCTTCCCCGGCTTCCTTTTTCAGCAACCTTTTCTTCGGCACAATTTTTCCTCGCTATTTTGTATAGCAAAATTATTTTCGGGGAACACCTTTTTCGGAACACCAATAAATCACATGGCTTGAGAGAGGGTGACACCCAGTTTTTCGGCGTGCGTGAATAAACGAAGCATAACAGAAAGCTGAGAACTTACTGTGAAGGTAACGATAGCAGTAGCACAACAATGCAAATGTTTAAGATTATGACATAACCTGGAATAAAAGATAAAGCAGAAAAACAATAGCTTCTTTTTGGGCCTCCATGTATTTGAACCTAATATTCGTGAGACCTCAAAACAGCAATGTGGGCACCGATTCCCCCCCAAAAAAAAACTGCCCGTAAAAAAAATTATTTTTTGGTCGAAAAGCTTGTTTCATTGAAGCTAATGCCCCAATACCCAAAATGCAATATCTTGGTTTGAAGAGTATTACAACTTAGTCGATGTCAGTTCAGGGACCTTTCGTTTTCCTGCTTTATTCTTATTCTCTCAAACGTTCGCATTCTATCAACACCGCTTGCGTGGCATTTGCAGAGGAGCATGGTCAGCATCTCAGGGGTGGGTAAAAGAGTAACTAAGCAAGTGTTACCGTTTTCGAGTCAAATAAAAAAAAAAGTTCTCTATCAACGCTTGTGTCTGATCCAGGACTCCGCCCGAAACCTAACGAGTTCGTCGGAAGCCGCGGCGCAATAGTGTTATGTTATAATATATTGCAATGCTCCCTGCGCCTTTGCAAATGCGTTCAAACATTTCCTTTAGTTTTAAAGCAGCCGCACAGTGCTTAGTGAATGTAGTGGAAAACATGTCGACCGTTTCGAAAACGAAAAGTAGCACAAAAACAATTCCCGCTCTTCATTGTTTCAACACAAAATGTGTTCAAGGTCCCCTTTGAAAAGTATGACGAAATGCCATGAAAACCATTATAAGGCGTGCCACACACATTTTAGAAGAAAATCTGAACGAAGCAGTGGTAAATTGAGAAAGAATGAACTTCTAAACACGCCCCAACGAGATTCGAACGAATGACCATTACTGCTGCTTGCTCGACGCTCCCCCGCTGCGCAATTAGCGGCTAGACGCCAAGCTAGCCGACTTTTGTTTCTACCATGGCGGGGTCTACTAACCATCCAAACACGAACACCAGACGCCAGTTTTCCTCTACCACGGTGGTTTCTACCAACCACCTAAATGCGACTGCCCGACGCCAACGTTCGGTGTGTTAACGGTTTACGGGACAAAAGGAGAAATCCAGGACGTTCCCACCATCATATAAAAAAGGAGTGTTTGAATAAAAAAAAACATGCTAGCATTTCTTCTGAATTCACTATCTTTTCACGCTTAGACATTATAACACTGCCCAGCTCCTTCATTAACAAATTGTTTTTAACTGGAAGACGGTCGCTGATTCAAGGACTTCTGCAAGGTAAAAACTAATATATGTACTCCATCTCTATACTCCAGAGAAAAATATTGCACCACCACGCCACGCGGTATGTACGCACAGTTTTTTTTTCTGAAAGATAAAATAGAGGGCAATCTGTCTGCATCCTTTTATTCGAGAGAAGCACCCACAAATAACAATACCTGTATAATATTCCTAATGTATATCGATGCATTGGGCATTTCATTGTGTATTGTATGGGGGGGGGGGGGCAGAGCTTCTTCTGCATGTGAAATTACCAGCCGAACATGAAAAAATCAAACACAGATAAATAATTCAGCTGGTAATGTAAGAAGTTATGAACGAATTTCCTCATCTTCAACCGGTAACACCCTCTTCTTGTTGCTCTTGTGTTTGAACAAACTACAGAAGGTCTCTGTAGTAGTAAAACCAACAGTTGTATAGTGTCACTGACTCATTGTATAAGTACCTTTTATGCTAGCCTAGCTATCGTAGCACCCTAGCTCTACTCTGTCTGAAGTTTCATGCGACCTCAGCGGACGCTACCAGCCATCTCAGCCAATTTACCTCTGTGAACGTAGCACGTTATACGGTTTTCGCCCGTCAATGCATCCCCTCTCTCCAAGGTCATGAACACTCGCACGGCCTTGGATCGGCTAAAATTGTTTGTAACATCATCTGCGGTCAGTCAAAAGACGAAACGGAGTATAGTTACTTCCATGACCCTACATGTATTATAGAAAACGCCTTTGTTCTACAAAAATGTTTAACAGAGGCACAATTATGTTCAAAATTTGGTGGTCATGTTTAAATTGTTCAATAAGTCATGAAAGTCAATTGTTTTCCATAACTTGTACATCTGTTTTAGGTATTTCGGTGACCTGCAGTGTTATTTGATTAGGCTAGGTTTTTAATTATGTGTTTGATTTATTTGTTTTTTTTATCTTCCGAGTGTTCTGCATCACAATACTTCTTTTGTGCGTAGTTCAAAAGAGAATCATCACCACTCTGGAACATACCAAAAAACACTGAAGCTGAATCATCGGCGCGGATATGCAATGGGCACAGTGCCGAATACCATTGCCCTCGAAAGTACATTGATTTCGACGTGCTGTTGGTTGCCAGCCAATGACTTGGGGGGGGGGGGGGGGGGGGACGTACTAACAAAAGGTATGTGGCCATATCTTCTTCCATTAGAAGGCATTTCATGAAGTAGACGTCACTTTATATCACAGCCTGTTGCGACCCCTCTATGTTGTCTATTAGTGCGATAAATATGAATAGTGGCGATAATGGCTTTGGAAGACTTACTCATGGTGAAGTAGTTGTACCAAAACTTCATCACGCAAAGTGGAGCAGTGTCACGAAAATTCGGGCTCCGTGCGTCCGCTGACACGCTCGCATAGTGAGATTCTTGGCTGGCACGAAGCAGCAGGTACGACCCTAAAACAAGCAATGTCGGAGATTAGCAGAGCCAACAAGAGGACTTCGATTTTGTGAGACTATACTCGTTCTTTGACTGTGCATGCTACCGAGATGCCAAGGTGTTACGGAAGGCAGAAGGCTCGTGCTGGAGGCAGAGCTTGTCCTGCATACTCAACCTGACACTGCACGAGTTAACATGCATACTCTAGTCAATTGGTTTGGTAAAAATGTCTATGGTAAAATTCCATAAAAACGCCCACCCCAAATGAAGGGATCAATAGCAAAAAATATAAGGAGGCTTATCTTTGGCTATTCTACAACAAAATGCTATCAAAAATGTATGATAAACACTGGGGCACCCAGTACAAACCAGGTGAAACAGGAAGTTATATCGCAGGTTGCAGACATGGCGAATTCTCGTGCCATGGTGTGGTACATATACGGAAATCGGCTGCAAACACCCATGTCACAGGAAGAAACAACCCGGATCACGGGCGCAGCAGATTCGCGTTTCGTGGAGCGATAAAAGTGTGGGAAACCAGTACAAACTCGTGTATCATGGAAACCGATATCGCATCCGCAGATCATATACAAAAGAAATGCAAGAATAAGCTACAAACTCGCACGTCATGGGAACAGACACCGCAGATCGAGGACGCAACAGATTCGTGCCACACAGTGCGATAAATCCGCACGACCCCGCTACCAAGTCCCTTGTCCCATGTACCGGTACCACGGATATCGCGCAGTTCATGCGATTCCCATCAGACATCACGTAATATTGGGGGAAACCGGGGGAGGTTAAAGGGTTGTTTTGAATTTTTTATGCTGTAGATTTTAGCCAAAACAATGGGATAGGTGATCTCTCAGTGAAGAGCATTAATACTAGATTTCACGGTAACTTATATTTGTAATATCGACCCTTAATTCTGCATTAAGCATCTTTACTGACCCAAATGCATGCACAACAGATTTAATATAATAATCTCTATACTAGTATATTGCTCAAATGAAGATGCTCAATTGTTACATTAAACCAATAAAAGGTTGTTCCACTGACATTCCTAGATAGAGTACTGGCTGGCGTCCACAACTGCGTCCACAACGCAGTTACGGGTGACTACAAGTAAGTTTTTTTTCGGTGATTGTTTCCTTTACTGTTTAGGCGAAGATGCCCTTGACATATCTAGAACCCCTGTGCTAGGAAAAGATAGTGAATATTATGTTTTTCTTAATAACTGAAAAGCGTGTTGGTAACACTGACTGACAGAGCACTATTATTCTCTCTTTTGTCAGACTTTCTTCTCTGCGGAAAGTGTCGATAATCTTGAATTTCAACCATAGACGTTTTGTTATCTATCACCGTGACATGTCCTGTCATTGTTTTTTTTATGTTGCTTTTTTATATATCTAACATTCCCAACACGCTCTAACCAACATACTCTAATTGGTGTACCCCCGAATGTTCTAGTGTCTGATGTTTTAGAGCTTCTTGAAAAGTAATTACGCATTTTGTAGGCTAACTATGTCCTTTTAGTCGTATATATAAAAACTAGAGTAGAGCCTTCAGTTTCAATTTATTTTTAATTACACATTCAACTCAGTGTACAATCGGGGCCACGATTATCTGCTTCATTTTACCGCATGTCTTCCACCGCTTTCTCGTTTTCTCGTGTAAGCATCGGGGAACATAATTGGCAGGTGAGCAATGTCAGCTCCATTCTCAACCTTAAATTCATTTTAAGAAATTATTATTGCAGATTTGGGTTTCTTTCGTCGACAACCACGGTTAACAATCGTAGCTATTACACTAGCAACTTATCGTAGAACATCAGCTGAGGATTGCGGGCCCTGCAGGGGCGAGCTCAGTCCACTATAAAAGTAACTGCACGAGCTCCCCCGAGCAACGCCAAACTCCTGCATGCTGTTGCGTGCGATCTATGAAAAGCCCATATTAACGTTACAAGTAAGCGTACTTTAACTACTTAATTTTGCGACAAAATAGGAAAATATTAATTAACTTTCTCCTCTCAGCTGGCGATTCAGGCTCCTGGCGATCTTTTTGAATTATTTCCCAGGAAACGAACAAAGCTTTCTGGGAAACACATATTTGCATTTATGTTTAATACGATGCTGTGGCATTTCACTACCCAACTATACATAATGCCCCAACATTTTGCCTCCGGTACATTACTTTATAACGCACGAGGCCAGTACGACAAGCGCACCAGCCTCCCGCGTCGCCTGCTACGCGTACGTGCGTACGCCTAACTCGTATGGGTGCGTCCCGCCAGGGGGAGGAGTGGCGCTGCGTGTGCGTGGGAAATCTTCATCTGCGCAGCCCTATAGACAGGATTGCTGGAGATACCACCGTTTTATCCTGAGAAATAAATCATCTTTATGAAATCAGTTAAACTTTCATTTAGATAAAAATAAACAAAATATACACCAAACAAATCCTCGTTTAAAGGCGGAACCCTACGTTTGGAGACCTGCTCGGTCTCTTCTTAAGGAGTTGACTGCGGCTATGGCTGTTAAGGAGCAGTATTATGTTTTCTTTTTGTTCTATTGCAGTGTCTTACTGCCGTAGAATACTGCTCCTCAACGGCCATAGCCGCTGTCAACCCCTCAAGAAGAGACCGAGCAGGTCTCGAAACGTAGCATTTCACCTTTAAACGAGGATCTGGTTGGTGTATATATTATCTTTGATTATATCTGCTCCCCAACCAGAAGAATTCCTCTGGAATGTGCACTTAGAAATGTTTAATTTAGATGCATGTGACGACTCCGGTGCTACTACAATTCCCCGAAATAGTACAGTTCTTAATTACGCTGGGCAGATATTCAAGATACCACAAATGTTGTATCTAGGAATAAAAAACATGCATTCCAGAGGTTCCAATAAGTTTTCATAATCATTATATTATTCCCTCTATAATTATTTCAGGGATATATAACTATGCCTGCAGTTGTTCAGCTGATATCCATTTTTTTACAACTTTTTGCTGAAGGATGAATCTCCTCAAAATCTTAAAGATAACACATAAAAAAGAGAGAATATATATTTACCGTCCCCCGTGGTGTGGTCGTTTCCAGGACCAACTGCTTCCGACTTTGAGTCAACTCTCTTCCAAAAATACTTGAATTCCGAAAATCCAGAACCAATCACTGTCCAGCCACAGGAATCCTTTTCAAAATTGCAAGGACCGCAGTTGACTTCGTCTTCGCCACCGTCGCAGTCCTTGATAAAGTTGCAGAGCTTCTCCATTGGCAACAACTTGCCGTCTTTGCAACCGAGCTGCGCTCTTTGATGGTCTGTAAAAATTACGGCAAAAAAAAACAACGACATGACCAGACCTGTCTTAATACAAAGTGCAGTCCCGACGAGTGCTGCGACATACCACAGCGAAGTCGTTGGGCATCGGTGTCGCGTTCACACACCGTGGGGTGGATGAACAATAGCGATCGGAAAAAGTAGACATACGACTGCGTTTTTCCGAAGCTTTTGTTTTCTTGTCTCAAAGCGCGTGAACACGCGTCTCCAGGCACGAGCTCTTGGCATTGACAGTGCTACAACAGAGTTCATTTTATAGGCTATTTTCTTTTTTCCCCACAGAGAGCTTGCAGTGGGGTTTAGGTATACTACAAAAACCATAAGTATAGCGCGGGTTGTTGACCCTGTGGCGTAGGTTAGTCGTAATGCCTCTGCTTCACGAGCAGCTAAACCACATGCAATTTTCGCGGGCAGCGGGCAGTCCTTTTCGAGGATTTGACAACATCCACGAACGACGTCCTACATTGCCAAATGCAACATCAACAGCTACAACTACTACAACAACATCAACATCAACAACGACAACTACTACATCAAAAACGGACATAATTTTCAGTCGTGGGAAGAGCCCATAACAGCTATTGCTGTAACAATTAAAAAAAAGTACTTTGCTTTCATTATATAAATTAGGGTAGAAAGAATGTACGGCGCTTTCCGAGTTCCTGCCTTCACTGGGGCGACAAACGTTTTGCGGCAGAACGGCGGGTAAACATATGCGGTTGTTTCAACGAAGACGTTCAGAAATTCCTAGCAATAAAATGGATGAGAAAAAAGGAAACTCTTTCGGGAAAACTCTGCCAGCCAAGGCGGGCGTCAGGGAAGGCAAAACCATTGATTGAACCAAAACTTAACCCAAAGTTTCTTAGTGAAAATAAACAGAAGGGTAAAATTATAAACTTAGTGAGCAATTAGTGGGAACTTCAGCCTCCCCCGCCCCCCCCCCCCCCTTCCGCCCCACAAAAAATACAGCCGACCCCATTATGTACACATGCAGTTTGAACTCCTCCCCCCTTTGCACCCAAAGTTATGAACATCCCAAGCCAGCTTTTTTTCATGTTAAATAGTGCAGAACGGCCTTTACACTTTCAGTGTCTGGGACGGGTGGTTCTTTTAGCTCAGGGGGTACCTAGGACAGGTTCTTATACGAACACAGATTACGTCGCACCATTGTCTCTTTGCAACCCTAGGCGCGCTTCCCGCCAACGCCACCGGGTTACAAAGCCTTAGCCCTGAATTTTCTGGGTTACCAAGAGAGCGGCAGCACACTTTCCTGCCCTTTGCACCCCTCCTCCTTCCGTCCGCTCTTTATGCACTATCTCTTTCTGCTCTTCTTTTTCCCCCTTCTCACCCCTCTTCGCTCCTTGCGCTTTATCACACCACCTGCTTCAGGTCCTCCCGTTCCTGAATGCTGGGTCCGCGGCTCAAGCCGCTGAGTACTTGGCTAGCACACCGGTGAACAGGGGTCGATCCCTGACGCCGGTTGGAGTGTTTTCAAGATTGTTTACCGGTTACGGACTGACTAACCAACACATTTCGTGCCTACGCGGCTTCTGAGTTTCGTTTACCCTATAATGCTACCGCTTTAAAAGCAAGAATATGCAAAGAAACAAAGCTTCATATTCACGAAAAGCACGCAGCAGGAGCTCATGGTTCGTTACTATATATTCATTTAACAAAAGTTGCAATCCAGCAATACTATAACCCGGTATATAAAAATATCCTTGCCTTCATTACTGCAGGACTTTTCCGAGACCAAGAGGTCGTCAAGAAGAACAAATGCCTCGCTGTTGTTGCCAGACACCGCAATTATCTTGTCCTAAAACGAATAGACACGAAAAGAATCGAACTGTCATAAAGTCCTGCTTAGACGTAATACACCAAAAACCAAGACATAGATTTAAAGGAACTCAAACACATTATGGAACAATAGATTTTCAGCAAACGAAATATTTTAAAGTGACTGAATATTACAAACTGAACATTCCGACAAAGCAAGAAATGTTGCGCACAATATTCAAGCTGCGACACCCATTTCGAGCATAGAACTATTCTAACACGCGATCCTAGTTTGAGACGTCGACCCCAAAATAAAAGCGTGTTTTGGAGTATCTCAAGTAAGTAGCTCGAGTAATTTGCCGCAGTACCATCAGGCTGCACTGTGGTCCAATTAAACAGCAAAAACGGGACATTTCTCAGTTCAAACGAGTTCTCATGACGCAGCAACATTGGAATTCATTTTTAAATAGATGCGTCTCTTTTATTCTCTTATTTCATTCACCCTATTAGGTTTACGAATCAAACATTAAAACTCGTCCAGCTTAGATTTTCCATCGAATGCGAGGAGAGTGCACAACACTTGGTGGTTTTTTGTTTATTTAACGAGCAGCAGTCCGAGATGTCTGTGTGCCTGCTAGATTATTCTACAAATACGCAGTTCCTGTCACTCTATGCAACCCTCGTTCCTGTGCAGCTGAGGGAAGAGGAGAGAGGAATAATTAGCTCTCCCCTAAGTGTAACCCCTCTCTCCGCACGGCGTAACTCAATTGGTTGTGCCTCTATGACGTCGAACCGGCAGCCGCGCTCCGTTCCTGATACTCTGTCCAGTGAGCGGAATTAATGCATAAGCCCTCGCTTTCAAAGTGAACTCGCCATGTACCACAATGTGCCATCAAAAAAAAAATGATTCAGCGTTTTTTTTTGTTTTTTTTTTTGCTTTTTACGAGGTATAAAAACTATGCAATACCGAACGCGGTCTCCACCCAAGCGTAGCGTCAGCGGTCCGTACCAGACGTCAAAGTTTCAGAAAAAGAAGTTATCTTACTCAAACAGTATAAATAATTATGGTGTCATTCGTTTGCTCGTAATTGCGGGCTTTGCTGACCACCACTTTCCCATTGAAACTTTCAGAACCTTGCCTTTAAAATTTTAACAAGACCGGTCGGTTCTAAAGCTTTGGCATATGGTCCAGACCACACACGCTGTACAGAGAATGGGCGTCTGGCGATACAGTTAATTTTTGCAATGAAAAAATATTATTTTTTTTTTTGGGGGGGGGGACGCTCTCCACTTTGTTAAATTGAAACTGAAAGGAGTGTCAACATCGGAACTCACGTCTCCCGAAGCGAGATGAAATCTGGCCTGCTTCCACTTTCCGGCGGTAGACCCGGTAAGTCGCAGATCTCTCGTTTTGATGGTACACCCTTGGGGGTGTGCGGACAACTGGTACCAGAACGAGGCACACCTGTAGCGGCTGTCTGTCAGCACCAAACCAGCAGTGCGGCCTGCCTCTTTCTCCGAGAAAAACAGAAAGTGACCTGTAAAGAGAAATAGTAAACATTGGAATCTAGCCCCCGTAATTTGGAATGACGACTTTTTTTCTTTTTTTTTTTTTGTAACTCGAAATAAAACTGCGCTTCAAAAGTATATGAATCCATTGCCCGTAATTCAAAATGATGGGTATACTGTCATAATTTAGAATGGCAATGCTAACTGTATACGTACATACACAGTGTTTATAATACAGACTGATGGACTTGTTACATAATTCAAAATGACGATGCAAGACGTACAGGTGTATGCACAGGGCCTATTATTTGGAATCATTGCTGTTTTCTGTAACTACTGAGGGCAATGCAATCGGTAAATGTGCAGATCCGGTATCGGTCATTTAAAATGATGGGTATTCAACGTAGTTTACAGTGACAATGCAAGAGGTCTCCTTATCCCTCCTGCTTGGCTTAGACTAACCCTCCAATCAATCAATCAATCATTCCTTTTATTTCTCGAGGGCTAAACAATGTTGCCTGACAGGCAACTCGAACATCTACCTTTTCTTCTGCAGCTATAATCAAGGAAATGAGCAGAAAATCAGTGGAGAATTGTAGGGAATTTGTAGAATATTTGTAGAAAATATATAAAGACTGAATTGCTAAGGAATTTTCAGAAACTTTGTAGCTCCGGGTTTATTAAAACATTCTTATCACAAAAATTTCCATGGCTATATTCAGCGTCAGCAATTAATATAAGGAGAAAGCATGAAGTATTAGGAAGTGTCCAGGCATCAGTTCGTGTCTCAGCTAAGCTCAAGCTATATATTAAACTGGAAAAACGCTTTACCTACGGACTGGACAGAAAGAGAGAATTTGGATTCTCTAGGAGCTTTTACAGGTACCCTAGTTATTAATGTCTGCGTACTGAAGATCACTGCTCATTCAGCGCCAGACGCCCCGAGACATTGCGCTCGACCATTTACGATTTTGTTAAAGAACATTCATTGAATTTTACCCCAAAGTTCACCACATTTTAAATAATATTTTCGCCGAAAAGTTTTCTCATGGCGTGAACGAGGCTTTATCTTTTAAAATGGACGTAAAACTAGGCATCATTCAATAATTGAGTAAAATCGATCTTTTTTACAAAGTTCTTCAGAATTCATTTTATAAAATGCAACGGCTATTAACGTGCTATATTGTGATGATTAGCAATTTGCATTGTTAAAATACTTTTTTTAATTATCAAATATAAAGAAAAAATTCTAAATTTTATGTTTAACAATCGCTTTTCATATGGCAATAATAATTTGATGTGGCACAAGTAAAAATACGAAAATAAAGACTTTATAAAAAGGGTTTATTGACTTTCAGTCCTAAAACATGAATCGAAATTATTTCTTTTTAAAACGAGAACATATTGATATTGAGCGTCCGAGTCCCAAGCTGGCATTGTTTCTTAGCGCCTCTTAACAGCACAACATATCACCTGAAACGTGATACGACATGAGAGCGGACACGGGAGCTGAGCAGCTTTGCGCTCACGCAAGGTCAGTTATCTCTATGGCAGTTTGCTAGAGCGCGTTCCCCCGCTTGGTCGCTGTAAAGTGAGTGCGGCCACTGGACGGCCATCTTGTATGCAGCGAAACTGCCTTATTGCGAGCGTTGCAGACTCTGGCGGCAGCGGGCTAAAGACACGTTTTTTACTCGTTCGTCGTCATTCGCCTAAGACGTTTATTACACTTCTGTAAAAACGGTGAGACTTGCCTTTGGAACACTGGAAAATTCCTACGAAAGCGCGGCGCCACAAGAAAAAGAACCACTCGTCGGAAAATATTTCGGCTGTCCCGCGGCGTGATCAAAGCTTTTTTGGCACGCCAAAGTGCTGCGTCTTTATGCATTCGCAGGCTTGTATACCGATCAAGAATCGACGCCGTGTGGATGTCTTGGGCGACTGTAACGTGCGTGAAGCCGCATGCGCCTCCGAAGCAGCGTTTTACTCTCCTGTGACGACTGCATTTGTAATTTGCACCACTCGTGCTCTAGAAGCGTTCCAGTGTTCATTCACGACGGAAGAGGGGTGGGGGGAAAGGAAAACACGGTAGCGTGTTTTCTTTTTTTTTTTTTATTAGACACTCATGGCAATCGATTCAGTAGAACAAAAATCTTTATTTCTGTGCACCCCCCCCCCCCCCTTTCCTACCAAACCCCTCCGACGCCACTGGCTTCGTTGTTCAAAAGTGGCGATGTCAGCTGAACGATCCAGAACTCCGTGTAGATACATGATCCAAACCCATCTAAGCGCGACACAACTCCAAAACTTTGCCGCGGAGTTCATTCTTGATCGATATCCAAGCTTGCGAAGGCACTAGGACTCAGCACTTCGGAGTACCAAGGAAGCTCTGATGACGCCGCGAGACCAGCAGAACTTGTTTTCGACGAGGTGTGCCTTTCTCCTACGGCGCTGCGCTTTGTTAAAAATGCCCCTGTGTTCTCAAAGCCAAGTATCACCGTTTGCACAATGATTTAAGAAACTTCTTAAACTAGTGAAAAATCGTTTTTTTCTGTGTTCTAAAATTGTTTTTTCCCCTTTTTTACTTTGATTATTTAACGGTAGATTGAACAGCTGTTTAGGCAGCACTTGCACATTTCCACAACTTCAGATTTTCTCTCTTAAGTAGTTTGGTGTAGGGCATCAAACAGTTTTCCCTCATAATACAGCTACAGAGATTGAAAGACGTAAAGCGATAATTAAACAATAAAATTTAAAAATCTCATGCTTTTTCTTTTATTTTATTGAACCGTTTTTTCTTTTATCTTTAAGACTAAAAATTCCATATTCATCATCACCATAGAAAGCTAAAGCCCTTTTAATTTCATCAAACAAAATGCTAGGATTTTGGCAAAACTTTTATTTTTAATTTATTATTGAATGACGCCTAGTTTTACGACCATTTTAAAAAGTCAAACTACGCTCACACCAAAAAAAAATTGGCCAAAAAAATTTAGAAAAAGGTTAAAAGCCTTGAGTTTTTTTATCGAAAATAGTTGAACGCAACGCCTGAGACCTTTGGCGTGGAATGACCTTGCTCCAAGTTATTGAAAGTTGTGACGGAGATATGTTCCGGAGTTTCCATTTACGTTTTATTATCTTTTTGTTTCTGAGCTTTCACCTTGATAACATCCGTGATATTGTGAAAGTCGCATTCTACTATGAATGTCTGGACGTCACGTAGGACCACCTAAATTTAAATGTAATATGCCGTTAATGAGAATTTCGGACTCAAGTTCCTAGATTTTTCCTAATAGATGTGTGGGAAGTGAATTGGATGTTCCTGAGGACGATCTACAACTTTGTCATTGGAACTCTTGCTCTAAATTAATATTTAATAAATTCATTAATTAATCACAATCAATTATTTCATCCCAAAATAGCCTGCCTAGCTCTAAACAATGAACCAAAATATAAACCTTAGCTCAAGTTACGGGGAATACCCTGTATAGTTGTATTAAAATTAATAGAGATTAAAAGTAGTGGACAAATGAAAAACTTCGCGAATTGAGTTGAATTTTTATTTAACCACGGTGCATAGTAGTAGAAAACTTTGAGATCCTTCGGTATTTTATTTGAACAAAGTTGGCCAAAATGACTATTTGCTTTGAATTCGATTCGAGTTCAAAATACAGTGTATACCCACGACTATACATTCTATATATATGCCTATTTTTTTCTTGGTTTTGGTGAACACCCATTGATGAAGCAACTATTTAGAGCGCAGCTCGCATCCGCCAGTTCCTGAATTCAGAGCGTCGGCGTCGTCGTAACCGCGCTGGCTGCATTATGTGACTTCACAGTTTCCAACTGTATTGGTGTTGAGATCACGTGACGTAAATTTCCCTGCTAAATTTAGCGGGGACACTTAACCCGCTAAATTTAGCGGGGAAATTTTCTGTAAACTTTTTGCTAAATTTATCGGGAAAAGTATGGCTAAACTTTCCGACTAAATTTAGCGGAAAAAATTCGCTAAATTTCCCACTAAATTTAGAAGGAAACTTTTCGCTAAATTTCCCGCTAAATTTACCGGGAATATTTCCCGCTAAATTTACCGGGAATATTTCCCCGCTAAATATAACAGGGAAGTTATTGCTGGGATGAGCGGGAAATGTAGCAAAAATATCCCGCTAAACGGGACGGAAGTAGGAGAGGAGGGAACGGAGGGGGAGAAAGGGCGACCCTCCCTTCCGTACCCTCCCCTTCTTCTCCTCAAGACCTGTGCTCTGATTCAGCATTACAGATTATTATAAACGTCTTTCATTTTTTCTTCCGATTTATGACTGCTACACTACGTAACCCAGAGCACATTTATGACATTGATTTCGGTCTCCAAGGACACAACTCTATTTGGCTCTCTGGCACCTTACAATTGCTGCCACTTTTCTGACAAATAACTCGTTCTAAAAAGTAGCTGTGAGCAAATAGACAAACACAATCTCTCAGGAAGCCATATATGATGCTGATTTTTCTTTACAATTAACATTGCCAAAAGAACGCACATTCCCATTTGGTCAGTGAGCACCAAACGTTTTGCACCTTTTCTTTAAGAAGCCAGAATGCTTAAATGGCAGCATTGTAGCAGTCAAACATTTTGATAAACAAGAAACAAAGCAAAGTGTTTATTTGAACTGAAATGCACCTGTGAAGTGGACCACTGAAATGTAATGCCCTATAATTCTCCTAATTACCCTACCTAAAATTCAGGCCCAACCACAAAAAAGGTTCTGTGACTGCTCACCTTGAATGGAGTCCAGAGTGTGATCCCTAAGCAACAGCGAGGTATCTCCCCTCTCCAGCTGCCAACGGCTGTCGAAGGCACGCTTCCCGGTTGCATCGGCATCGCCTAATAAAACATCGTCAAAACCGCCTCATTACTGCGTGGTCAAACTTCAAGAAGCTTGGTAGTTTGCATTTTCTGATGTGGGAGCTTAAGTGCCATACACTCTCTCCTTAAATATTCAGTGCAACGATTATAATGTTAAAAAAGGTTATACTTTCCATTTTTTACACCGTTTATCTTCGCACAGGTGAGAGAAAGTTCGCAAACTTGCAACGAAATAAAGCAATGTTGCTGCGTAATAGCAAAAAAATACACATTTTATTCTGATCTGCACTTGCGTGTGGCAGTCATCGGCACCACGGAACCACGAGCCACAGAACCCCGAACCCCGAACAACGAGCTAGGGAACCACAGAACCCCAAGAGACACAAGCACAAGAGCGACACGGGAAGCCGTATCGCAGCTTCCGGTGTCACTCGTGGGTTTTTTGCCGCTGATGTACACGTATAGAGAAAATTTGAATTTTACGCAGTTGAAAGTAGATAGTCATCCTAGAAATGTCACGAGCAGTATAATATAAGAATCTAATAACTTCACGGGAAATATTTATTTTAGGAAATAATTTGTTTATAAATTGAGAAACGGTTATTGATGCTGCCTGTCTCAACTTAGAAAAAAATGTTTTCTACAAAAAAGTTGATTTAGAAAAATACCATATTTACACACACAAACATCTCAGGGTATTTCCAGAAATTTTCATTTGTTTCAGCAGCGTAGTTGTATAATATAAGTGTTTTATAAATTATTTTCGGTTCGCCGATGCTAAAGATTAGGTAGAGGATCAAGCAGTTTGAACGCAGTTTTCTCCTTTCCAGTTTTCGGAGTATATTCTACTTTATAAAAACTATTGTTTGGTAACAGGACGAAATAAAAGGATGACTTATTGTTTTCCTAGCTAGAATTTATTCAGTTAGGAAATCTTTTTTCCTTAGAGGATTTGTTTATATAAAAGATGTTATGATTTTGTTTACAACATAAAAAAATTACTTGATATTTCCACGTGATGTTACCATGAAATAAATTATTTTGAGGGAGTGTTCATTCACACTTGAAATCTTCACGCATTCGCTGCGTATCTAGTGAAGAAAAAATGTTGGGTATTATATTACTTCTCTAAAAATAGTTTCCTAAACACTGTCAGTGTGTTCCTGATAAAAACGAGTCTAATTCCCTTCACAATTTATGTACACAAACGGGACTTTCCACTGCCTTGTGCCTCGCAACTGCCAGCGTATGCAGTAAATTTCACTGATATTAAGCCAAAGGTTCAAAAGTTGACCCTTTTGGGTCGTGTCGAATTCCTTTAAGTTATCAATTTATTTATGAATGAACAGTACCTTCCATCCCTGAGTTCAGTAAATGCAACAAGAGTTAACTAATAAGCTTCTTGTCACATTTCCCCAATTATTTTGGAATGTCACTTTCCTTTTGCGTCTTTGAGAGTTCAATGTCTCCTCTGACAAAGCCTCCTTCCTTTTTAACCAAGTCTCCACATTTAGTCTGTCATTGTTGTTTGTTTTTTTTTTTTTTGTTTTTTTTAAATATGAGGCATATAAAGACAACTACGTAAGAAAGCGGATCTTCTGAAACAAGAAATCGAAGAATGAAGCGAGCCTTGTTAAAAAGAGGCAATTTCATTCATAGCTTCTGACTGGACTGATTTTTTCCGCAAAACCATGTACACGTAAAGAGTTTACATGCATGTCCAAGACAAACAAGTCAAGGTTTACTCACTCCCGTAGGCATCCACCCAATGCAGACAATCGGGGTGCTCAAACGTGCAGTAATCTATGGAGAGAAAAACCGAGTGGAAGAAAAAACTAAGAGTGATGTCTTCGAATAGCAGCTTATTCGATTAAATAAATGTGCATTCATTTGTTGAGAACGCATACCCTCTCGAGGACACTCCCCGTTGACATACTCGATGTCATCGAGGAGAACACCAGATGGAGTATGAAACTGTTGCGGCGGAAGTACTTCGAACACGACCTGCAAACGGGAGACGTATTTAGGAAAACTTGTTGAACACGGTTCAGGGAACCCTCATTAAACATGTTTTGAGGTACTATTGTAAAATATGTTTCAGGGAACCTTTTTAAACATGTCGGAGGGAACTATTTTGTACTAGGAAACCACCGTAATACATGTTTCAGGCGACTATCATTATTCGTGTTTCATAGGAAAATCATAAAACGTACTTCAGGTTGGCATTTGAGATATGTATGAGGAAGCCATGATTATATTTTAAGAAACCATCGTGATACATGTTACAGGAGCCACGATAAGACGTATTTGAGCGAACCATTGTTAAACAAGTTTTAAGAAACAACCATTAACATACTTTAGTGAGCCATCTTGAACTTATTTGAGTGAACCACAAATATATTTAAGGGTACAATTGTAAAACTCTTTCAGCAGCCACAGTTAAACATACATGAGAGGGTGCTCAATATCAATGCCTAGAAAACGGGTTCATGTACATTCTCTGTTTCGTCACGAACCAGCGCGCTGGTACACAATCACTAAAAATCAAACACACACAAAAAAATACACACACAGCGCTGTTTGAGTGTATTTTTTTTATCTTTGAGCGACTGTCTACCCGTGCGCTGGTTTGTAAATACGCCCTACCAATTTATCCGTTATGCAGTATTAACAGTTTTCTGTATAGGTTACATCAATTCTATAGAATGACTTATCTTCCCTGTACCCTAAATTAGGGCATCTAAACAGCACAGCCTACAAAAGATTCGATCCCCTTTCTGACATGCCGTGAGATGCCCGGCATGACAGGAAAAGTCGTGAAGCGCGCGGCTGCGCCTGCGTGCGGTCGTGTGAGTAAGTGCATTTTTGTAATGTTTTACGAATATTCGAATTTTCGAAAAGTAGCTTCGAACAATACGCTATTTGATTTTCGCATCGAGATGAACTGTGATATTCATATCAATCGAAGTTGCTCATTAAAAAGCGTGCTTCTTATTGCGCACTGATGCACTGCGCCAAAGCAACTCTCGCAAGAGAAAGTTCCGCACGGGTCGCATTTCTGCAGTGCCATGGTGCTCAGTAACAAGAGCACTCAACAGCATTATTTCAAAAAGTATGAATATCGCAGCCTCGTGCATACGATAAAAGCACACCTTCAAAGCGGGACGATACATGCGTACGCCTGGTGTATTTATATAGCAACTGAAACTTTATGAATGCTGATACTCGCATAGCAGTAAAAGTTTCAAAATTAAACTCTGGCTATTATTTGAGAGTATAAATGGTGTATTTTATTAAGCTTAACAGATTTTTTATAAAAAGCCATAAGAGCTACACATATGTGGTTTGTGCAGGTGAGTTATACGGCCACGGCACCATAATATACGGGGCTAATCGTAACGATCAGTCAGTTAATTAAGTAAAATTTGCTAATTAACTTTTAATTTGTAAAAATAGACATATGGTAGAACTATAAACTTGCTTAGCATCTTCGAAGAATACTAAATCAACTCTGTTTGGAAAGATAAAACACAGAGGCAGCCGTTCGTTACAGACTCCATGAAAATTGATAACACACATTTTGTGTTAATATTAGCACAGAGTGAGACGAGGTTTAAATAACCTACATTAGGACTGACAAGATTAGGCATAGGAATGGATACATTACTTGAATTTTATGCTTGAGTTATGACAAAAGGCAGGCTGAAATAAGATAAGCGTATACCTGCCAGATGCTGTGTGCCGACAATGTCACCGAGCGACCGTGCCACCACTGTGAATTTTGTTCCGTCATCACCGATAAGATGGGGTCTCGCAGCCCCGTTGCTTCGGTGAACCTGCAAGTCAAAAAGACAAAAAGCATATTGCCCTTGTGATACCTTGCAAGGGTCATTGAACATCTTTTTTAACTTGGCCTGTTACACCTCGCAATATGGCAAGACAAACGTGAAGCTACCAAATACGTAAGGTACAAATCTCGGTGGTAATAAAATGGAGGTTCAGCACCTGCACGGGTGAGTACTAAAGGGCAAAGGAACAGGTCAATATGACGGCCACGTGATATCAATGAAGTAGAGGTACGGTCTATTCTTCGGGGGGACCAAAATGTTATATCGCGCAATAACCAACACATTAAAAACGAACTACGAGAGCACGTCCTGCCCTTGCCCTCTGCTGTCTCCTTCTCTTCCACTTATAAAGCACCCTGGTACTGCAGATAAGGTCCTTATATGCAGGCTGTGTTGTTCCATGGTGTTCTGTGCAGTTTTGTGGTTGATTTGGTACTGGTTTCGGTTTACGTTCTTTTTATACGATCACGCAGTCGACCATACACCTCTCCGCTTTCCCACCGCCCTTCTGAATCTTTCTGCGAAATGATATCACGGGACATAGTTATATAATAAAGCCGCACGGTTACACACAAGCTTCCAGCCCTCGGTGTAACAAAGTCATCTCTCGATTCCCAAGCCTGCCCTTAGCACAGTGGTATAGTCAGTTTCAGCTTCTTTAGGTCCTGGCTTCAATTCTCGGTAGAGGCCTTTCTATATTTATTTTCTTTTTTCTTATTTATGTGTTCTTCCAAAATGCTTTTCGTCCTGGTTACACATTTCGATTACATCATATCACTCATTTCCCGGAATCCCAGTTTTATTCTGGATTAAAAAAATGTGTTTTCACCAACTATATGAATAAATAGATGTGACTGCATGATACTATGCAGAGTCATAGACTCTGTATAAAATCATTAAAACAAATTTCATGCTTTACATCCTTGGTGGTTCAGTTAGATTTACGTCCTAAGCAATCAGTCAAACTGCGACTAAGACTGCGCTGATTTAGAGAATCACTAGTCCTTTCATGTTGTTTCTTTTTGCGTATTGCCTACAAAAATACCGAGCCGTGTACATGTCTCACAGCGCCCATTAGCTAGCTTTAAAGTGTTAGAAAAATAAGCGAATGATATATCAAGCGCTAGTAGAAGGCTTCTAGCACACGTAGTTAACCAAGGCCCTCCCCCTTGTGAGCCATTTCTCAGAGCACGCCAGAACAAAGTGCCTACGCTTTACATGTGTGTGCCAAACCCAAGCGGTGAAGCTTGACATGTTTGCATTGGTGCAAAGCTCTAATGCTCGATGTGAGTGCACTGGTGCAATGCGGCGGAGCTTGGCGTGCGTGCTTTGTTACAAAGCAACGAAGCTTTGATGGCTGCACACTGATGCCAAACAGTAAAGCTTGACATTGTATGTTGGTGCAATCTGGCAAAGTCGGATGTGCCTGTGCTTGTGACAAGAAGGGAAGCTTGATGTGTGCACAATGGTGCAAAGGGCTGAGGCTTGACATGTGTGCATTGGAGCGAAGTGGTAAAGCTTGACGACGCATCCACTGGTGACACGTGGCAAAGTTGGATGTGCGTACTTTGGTGCAAAGTGGTGAAACCTGATTACTGTGCACTGATGCAAAGCAGTGAAACGTGATGTATGCACGCTGGAGCAGTGGTGAGGCTTAACACGTGTGCACCGGCGCAACTGATGGTGGTGAAACTTGATGCATGCATGCCAGTGCAAAGTGATAAAGTTTGAAGCATGCGCAAAGAAGCCTGCCCTACATTGTGCCCCTTCTGCATTTTTGCTCTTAGACAAAACAGGCGCTCATCCCAGTGTCATTTCAGCGTCCTCTTCACTACGACAATGATTTGTTAATTTTACAATATGCATATGAACAAATGTACATAGATGAACCAGATAATACATCTATATCGTTCTTATTGGGCTAAATTATGAGGCAAAGCACTTTCAATAAAACTGACCGAGAAATAAATCTACATTGAGACAATATTGACTGACCGGTAGACATTGAGTCTGCTGACTGCACCATGTGATCTCCACCAGAATTTGAGGCAGGTGGCTTTGGTGGCAGTGCGTCGGCTGAAAAACACCCTGGCAAATGGGTGTGGACGCTGGGGTACATTAGTGGTGTTCAGGTACAAGAAGTGGCCTGCACAAAAATCATTCAGGGATTTCAAATCAACAAAAATATCACAAAAGCGTTTTATATCACCATTTTAATGTTTCATATTTGTGTACCTCTTCGCCAACCGTGAATACACTATTCCCCCCCCCCCCCCCCAAAAAAAAAAATAATATTATGAGGAAAAACTTAGATTTTGATTTTATAAGTTGTGATCTTATTTGTCATGTGTTATTGACCTTATAAAGATTCTGACAGACAGTGACAAATTCCCTAAATTTGGCATTATTGCTGCCAGTTAATAAACAATGTGCTCTTCATTCGCTCAAACAATTCTAGCCATGCATTGCGCGCATTATAATATTTGAAAATACATGTTGCTGTCAAATATCTTTATAATAAAAATTCTTACCTTTTGTGCTTCCCATTGTGCGGTCAGGGACTCCCAACTTGTGGGCACCAAGAACGTTCCAGTCACGTATGTTGCCCATGGCATTTCTTCCCCAGTAATCCATGTCATTTTCAAATGTGCACTTGGCTGCAGAATCAACCAAAAGTGAACCAATAGGAATAAACACAATCTATAATGCGTTATAGATCAATTATAGTTACTTCTTAAGACGGAATGCATAAATAGTCTATAGTAATGGGTCCATAAGGACATAAAAATGAGGTTCTCTTTTTGCGAGACAAGTTGTTTTGATGGCAGCCGCAGCCCCACTTCGTTGCCTGGGCAGCTGCCTGACAAGCGTGCCGATGTTCGCAAAAACCAAGATCCTTTATGAATCTTGAACAGAGCTAGCCCAAACTACCAGACTCTCTTCGGCCTTTTTTGCTCGTAATAAGATCTGTGGTTTGCAGTATCAAAAACATGTTCTGATTGAGCTGTAACTTCCTTCTCTGACACCAAAATTTAAGCGATGCGAATTGAACTGTAAAAAACGGTGCTATGTCGTGCTGGCGCAGCGATACGCGAAGGCACGAATTTAATTACGCGTGTTCCATTTTTTTTTTTATTTTCGACCCTTTAGAACGAAGGGACTGGTGCAAATCTACTTTTTGACGCCTCATCATAATTCGTTGTAAAGGCTTCTGACTATAGAGTGCTGCCACCAACGAGAAATATGTATTCAAAAACTATACATGAGCGCCATTAGTATTTTTCATGTAGACATCTTTGAATATTACCCATTTTTCTTGATGCACAGCGTGGGATCTTAGGATGCGTACACAAATATCGTTTTCGAATTGCCTGTCATAGGTTTTAAACGGATATTTTATGGAACTCCCTTTACCGATGGGACCAAACGTGTCTGATGTGAGGTTTATATGTGAAAAGCTCTCCTGCACTGTAAATAACTTAAATTTGCGGGATCAGTATTTTGTCAATATTTGAAACCCTTAGGATAAGACATATTTAGCATGAAAGCATTTTATGATTCGAAGTGAAAATCTTTGAAGTCTTTGTATTATTAAGACCTTTTTTTCGTAGCCTTTTCAAGCCCCGAAAATTAAGTTACCTAAAAGGACAATGAAATAAAAAAAAAAATGTTATTTTAAAGGGTACAGAGGGGACACAAAGTTTTTATTTGTATATTTTTGTACCTAAAAAAATGTTTTCGCAAAATTCACACCTTTCGACACAAATTACGGGGGCGGGGGGTACCAGCCCGGCTGGGTGCTTACAAAACTAAGCACCTTTTCTTGGTTCTCATTTGTTGGAGAGATGACTGGCATGCCAAATGTTTGCTGCGAAATTGTTTCCGTATGCCGTAATCTTATTTATATCGACAATGTTTTGCTTCTGTTTAACAAGAAATATTCTAGATAGTTTAATCGTTGTTTTCAAAAATATCACGCGCTTGCCTTTAGGTTTCTGCTTCAAACAAGAACATACACGAGTCCCATCGTTTCCGGCATGCTCAACAAGCATAGCTCGTTAAGCTCTTTTTTTTTTTTTTTTTTACAAGTGCAAGTTGTTTTTCGTTCATTGAGGTGTTTAGAGAAAGATCACTTCAACCGAATTAGTTTACAGCAAACAGCTGTCGCACGTACGGGCCTTCGGAAGCACTGGGAAGGTGCTTGAGTACATAGCGGGACTGGCCTAAGCCTTATGTCCCACATATTGGCGCTGAATAAAGGTGTTAGTTCACGTCAAAGCGGCCATACTGTTTTGTGAATTTTGCAACAGTTGTGATTACAAATATGGTATAATACAATGAAGATGCCTACACAGGTGAGGATTTGCCAACCATTTGATCGAAGCAATCGGGCGTTCGGCTCGCATCAAGTTTGTCTATGTTCCCGTTAATTCGTTTCGAAAGGCCAGTAGCTCTAAATTTCGCACTGGGCCTGGCCTAGCAATTCGAATATTTATTCGTCGCGTTTCAATTGTTCGTCTCGACGCTCACCCACCACGCTCGCAGATGCCCATGTAAAAAAAAATATAACAAGGACAGTAAAGCAGAAGAAACTGCTCATTAGTTTTGATGATTTGTTTAGTCCTCGGTCGCTTATTACCGGAAATCGATAAACGCTGACAGACGCTTGTATTGGGCCGTGGCACGAGTAGAATGTAGCGCTAGAACTTAATTTTCATGGTCGCGTCTTCTGAGTGCTGCAGAAGTTTTTAGATGGGGGCGGAATAGCAGACGGACGGATGTGACAACGGACGCCGACGGGCAGCTTCCTTGTCCGCGTCTCACGGGCAGTGCAGACGACGATAGACGATGGTGAAATAGCTAACGGTGCAGGGGGCGGCCGCGTGTGCTAAAACTAGTAGCAGGTGGTGTCAGAGGCCAAGGTAGACAAACCAGATGTCGCAAAATGGAGACACTAGACTTGTCAACGTGTTCGTTTGAGCGGCCGAGTCAATACAGTAGTAATGGTTTGGAATTGGAAGATCCGGAAGGTGATTCCTTTGCACAAATCAGGTGAAAAGCATTGTCCAAATAACTTTCGACCCGTGTTACTTACTAGCATTCCCTGTAAAATCATGGAATATATCATTTACTCCCATCTTGCAAACTACTTAGAGTCCAATTCTTTTTTCAATTCATCCCAGCATGGGTTTCGTAAGTCATTTTCATGTGAAACTCAGCTTTTGTGTTTCACACATGATCTACATTCCATTCTTGATCGTGGATCTCTGGCGGACTGCATATTCCTCGATTTTTCAAAGGCATTCGATAAAGTATCTCGCGAACTTCTCTTTCTCAAGCTGACTAAACTAAACTTAGACATTAACGTTCTTGCATGGTTGCGCTCCTTCCACACTAACCGGTCCCAATTTGTGACGGCTAATAATATCAATTCTGATTTATCTCCAGTTGGCTCAGGTGTGCCCCAAGGCTTGGTTCTGGGGCCCTTACTTTTTCTCATTTATATTAACGACCTGCCCACTAATATATGTTCATCCGTCAGTCTCTTTGCCGATGACTGCGTCATTTATCGCGAAATTAACAGTGATTCTGACATCTCACTTCTTCAGTCAGATATTAACAGTGTTTCTGAGTGGTGTGATTTGTGGAACATGAAACTAAACATTAATAAGTGTAAATCTATGCGCGTTTCCCGTCTTGATACTTCTTGTGCTTCTTATTGTCTAAATAATATCTCTTTCGAAACCGTTTCAGCGTATAAATATCTGGGTGTGCATATATCTGCTAATCTGTCCTGGTCGTGTCACGTTGAATATATTGTAAATAACGCCAACCGCATGCTTGGATATCTCCGAAGAAATTTTTGTCTTGCTCCCAGCTCATTAAAATTACTTTTATATAAAACATTAGTCCGTACTAAATTGGAATATGCAGCTTCGGTTTGGGATCCTGGTCAAGAATCACTTATCTCCGAATTAGAAGCGATTCAGAACCGCGCATCTCGTTTTATTCTTGCAAATTACCATCGTACATCCAGTGTGACCGCAATGAGGTCTAGCCTATCATTACCTCTTCTTTCACAACGTAGAAAAATGTTCCGTCTGTGCTTGTTTCATAAGATATATCATAATAATCCGATTCTAAAAGAAAGACTACTAACAACACCTCATTACCTTTCACCACGCATCGATCACCGTCATAAAGTTGCCATTCCTTCTTGTCGTACTAAACATTTTTATGAGTCTTTTATTCCTAGTGCCTCAAGAATGTGGAATCACCTTCCCGGAGCCATTGCCGAAATCCCCGCTGTCGAGTGTTTTAAAACTGCCGTTTCCAATATTTGTTTTGTAAAGAGCCATAACTACTGTATAATATTTTCTGTTGTACGCTGTATGTTGTGTTGTACTTTTAATACCCACTCCCCTCTGTAACACCTCTGGCCCTGAGGGTAAATAAATAAATAAATAAATAAATGGTTGAGGCCACTCATGTGTGGGTGGTGCTTAGAGCGTACCGTAACCTCCACCCAAAAGTGTGTCTAAAGGCATGTTCTTACAGCACCGTGTTCTTAGGTTTTCATCCGGTACTTAAAAGTCACCGAAACATTCGTGTGTCGAATGTCGCGTGCCAGGCTATGCTCTTGAACTTGTAGTCACGCTTACCATAGAGCACATATATGTCCCGCTGACTTGTGCAGTAAGGAGCTGTAAGCCTTTGTAACGTAACGTAACGTGAAAAAATTGGGCTGTGTGAACCAGCCTTAACGGCAAAAATATTGCGCGAATTTTGTTTTCTTTCGTATGAAAATGCTAAAAAAATTTACGTCCCATCTACGCCATTTATAAGACAATTTCCATCTCAGTGTCCCTTGAAGAGTAATATAAGACAGGCAGTGCGGTGGTCAATCACAGTATTACATTACCTTGTCAGTCTTTTATCTCCAATCATATATTTTGCTGAATAAACGTCAACTTTCAAATAAACCACCGAGCAAACTTATTCCGCGTTTCAAGAGAAGGTGAACGGTGCTGAATTTTCGGGTGCCCTGGAAATTAAGCCCGGTTCACTTATTTTCTTGGTTTCCGAGAAGACATTTGGATCGGCACGCCAGACGACCGAGTCGCCTGCAATTTTCGTCACACCACACACGCATCTTTCTATTTCAATGACGGAAAGGAAAGCTCGGTATTCCTGGCCGACGCCGATGGGGGTGAGAATTCCTTGACTTTTCCCGGGCTTGTAGTCACTTTGTGATTCGCAGGGCCATGAGAATATGTAGCAAACACTGTCCTGAAGCAACGTCATGAAGAGACAAGCATTAAAGAACCAGCAACTAACAACTATGGTGCCTGGAACCTACCTACAACTCGTGTATTTGAGGTGCCCTAAGAGGAGGTCTCAAGACTTCCGCCTGATGACGTCATGTTGCGGGCAGCGATCCTTGCGGCGTCACCGAAGCGGTGGTAGCATTGCGGGCGCTTGTACTACCGCAGATACGTGTCCAGCTTAACAGTTCACGGAAGTTCAGGCAGCCAGGAGTCCGGACTCCACGACGACAGCGACATTTGCATTTGCTCGCACTTTTTGTCGAGACTTCTAGCATAGCAACAACCGCCAGGATTGTGACATCCGACAGCATGACAGGACAACTTCAGCGAAGTGATTCGTTGTTATTTTGAGACCGCTTTTGACGTACTGGCGGGATAGGACGCTAAATGCACCAGCCGAGGACGTGCCTCCAGGCACCATACTTACTCATATTCCTAAGAATATTAGATACCACGTGTGATAAGTAAAAGCAACTCACGAGGCTGAGGGCAGACGCCGGGAGCCAGATAAATATCATCCAGGGCAATAAATCCAAAGACGACCGACGCCTCCAGCAGTATCTATAAAGAACAGTCTTTTTACTTAAGGTGTCAGGCACAAAACTTGACACTCTGTTGCTACGTTTAGTTCCAAGTAAAATTTGAGATAAAGGATTAGCGTAAAGTCCCGTAAAACCGCCCGCCTCCGAGAGATCCTTTGCCCCGTTTTTGGGGTCGATTATTCACAACATAAAACATCCGAAACATTGCCCAGCCATCGACTCCTGCCGTATATCGACCACTCAATGTCCGACGGGAATCGCTTCGACCGTGCGATCTGCAGTATCTGCTGCGTCCGCAATTCGCGGTATCCGTTCCCGTGACGTGCAATTTCGTAGCTCGTTCCCGCATTTCTTTTATTGTCTGCAATTTGCACGCGTGGTATTGGTTCCCGTGATAGACGACTTTGTAGCGGTTTCCCGTGTCTAGTGCACCGTAGAACGCTAATCTGCTTCCTCCGCAACCTGTGCTGTCTGTTCCCGTGACGTGCGAGATTGTTGCCGGTGCCCGCACTTTTGTCCGCGTTGCACGCGCGCGATGTCGGTTCCCGTGACGACCCGAAACTGGAGCGGGTGCTCGTGTTTATCGCACAGTGGAGCGCAAGTGTGCTGCGTCCGCATTTTGCGGTGTCCATTCCCGTGTCAGGACAGTTTCTAGCGAATGCCCGTGTACTTGTTGCACTGTGGAGTACGAATCTGTTTTGTCTGCGATCTGTGGTGTCAGTTTAAATTTCACATAGTTTGAACAAGGGTGACCCAATCAGTGCGTCGAAGAGAGACACCCGACTATACGCTACATTTCGCTAGTGAGCGCAGTGCTGTCAATGCCATTGGCTGGAGAGGGAAGCCGCTTTTGTACGAGTTTCAAGTAACGGGCCAGTCTTCTCGCTAGAAAAACGCGACGTCTGGGAAAAACTAAGAGGTTTGGGTAGGAGGAGAGTTCTCTTTTTCTCCCTTATCCAGCTCCTTGGGTAATTCACTCGTCCCTGTAACTTTTTAAGGGCTGTCAAGCGCTTCGCCCTAGTTACACCGATAGTCTCAGGGGGCTGTAGATTTCACCCTTTGACAAGTTACAGTGAAACGAAGTACGGCGGGTACACCCTGACGCCTCAACCCCCGAGTGAAGCCTACTTTATCATGTACCCCTTCCGCATTTTTACCTTCGGACGCATATTCAATTTAGCGCTAAGCTGTCAGAGCGATTACGACTGGGCTGTCAGAGCGGTGGAAGTTATGTGCTTGTTGAACCAGTCAACCATCAGCCTTGCACAACGTGGTCACACTTTCTGTGCATGCTGTCGTGCAGACACTGACGTCAGATGATAAAGGGCAGGAAAGTGGTGAGAATGAGGCATCCACCGTCCCGTCAGCTCAGCAGTAAACAGAGTAGAGACCATTTTATTGGGATGAAAGGAAATAAAAAAGGAGCCTCAATATTCGGGCAGTTCTGGCGGTACAGCTCATCAAAACTGCCCAGCTACTGAACTCGGCGCATGCCATGTCCCTCTTCAACTCCGACGATTCGTTCAAATTCCCGAATGTATGTAGATGGCGCTGAAGTGGAACAAAATGGCGCAGCCCGCAGAGTCCATAACAAGCGCCCGGCTCCTAATTCTTCAAGGTTATCCCAAACTTTTAAGTGAGCGCTCACAGAGTATTCTACCAAAGTTGTCAAAGTCTTAGATTGTGAAACACACAAGACAAAGGCAGAAAACAATTAATCCCCAGCATCTTATACCTGAACATTGTCCCCCGGATCAAATTTAGCAAATCTGGACCATCCTTCGGTCCAAGTGAGGGGCTGCTGTCCTTGATCAGTCCACATGGCGCCTTTGTCCGTAGAAAACCTAGCAACAAGACTGAAACCAATAGAGAACGAGATTAAATAGAAGTAGGGCTAAGTTGTTCAAAGTGTCGGGCGGACGTCCCAACTTGCTTGCGAGTTTGATGCACAGTCGTGATTCGGATAATGGTTAATGCGTGATCACCAACCGCTCTGTATTGACAGCGTCGCAAAGCAGCTGCCGTGGCAGCTATGCACTTCTCAAGACAACCGTGGCAAGGCGGAAAGTAAACACTGGTTCACACACCGCATTTGACTGCAACCATATGCGTTGTGCAGCCTCGGGATCTCTTGTGATCGCTTACAAGAGGGCACAATCGCACCATCTGTCGGGCATCTCTGAAACACTGGCTACGTGTATATCTTTCGAGTATTCTTTGCGCATTATTGTTTCATCATGGGCTCGAAGAACTTTCGATAATATTACAGACTATCACTTTCCGTAGAGATCATGGGCAATAGACCAATCTCACCAAGCGTTCCACGCATGCATGACGCCGCCATAACTGTAGTTCGTAGGAGGCAGACGCCAGTTCACGAGGGAGCTCATGCCGCCTCGTGCTCTGCTAGCGCAGACCTCCAGAAGAGTTGTTCCGCGTGCAGAAAGACTACAGCTCACACGATACTCAGACTAGCTGGTGAGATCGTTCTATTCGTCTCGCAAATACTGCAAAACCTTTGCTCTGGGAAAATGCAGTTCAGGGGCTCAACATTTTGATGGTGCCAGATCACCAGTGGATTCTCTCCTTACTGTACAAGGCTCCATGGCTTTGTCACCACAAAGCAGTCGAAAATCGTGCGTTAACTTCACGTGGATTGCGACCGTACACATTGGATGTGCATGAAAGACGTGAGATCTTCTATCTTAATATGCCCTCAGTGCCTAAAGAAAATCAAAATGGTGGGCACGAAAAAACGTTCCCTTTTAAAGCGCAGCTCTTAGCCGTCTGTTTCCGGATTAAGTGGCGTCGGCATCGCCGTAACCGCGCGTTGCATTATGGGAAGTTTCCCGTAATCACGTCACGTGTGACGTCACGAGAATAAAAGATTCCTGCTAAATTTGGCGAGAACATTTTTCGCTAAAGTCGGCGGAAATTTTTTTTCGCTAAATTTATCGGGACGTTTTTCATACTAGGAGGTCGTAGTAGATTGTTTTTCTCCTCCCCTACGGTATCCGTAAGGAAAACGCCGCAGCTGCGGCTGCGCCCCTGCATCCTTCTCTGCATAGTTCAAGGTCTTCTGGCGGATTACGAAGCGCTACGCGTGTCCTTAGAGGGCTCCGGAAACGGTCCATTAAAACTTCCTAATGAAATCACACGTGACAACACACGTAAATTGTACATCATGTGTGACGTGCCACGAGACGTGAAACGTCAGTCTAGCGAAAAAGTTTCCCGCTTAATTTAGGGGGAAAATTTACCCACTGAATTTAGCGAGAAACTTACTGCTATTTTTTTTTTCAAGGCTAAAAGCGCTAAAGCAACGGACAAGCAAGAGAAACGAACAACACAGAGCGCGTACACTCCTACATTCCGCGGGAAATTATTTTCCGCTAAATTTACGGGAAACATTTCCCGCTCAATTTAGCGGGGAAATGTTTGCTAAATTTAGGGGAAAATTTGGCAATAACATTCTACGAAATGGGAGGAAAAAACAGGAGGAGGGGAGGGGAAAGAGGAGTATATCGGCCCCTCCCTACTCTACCCTCCACCTCCTCAAGAGCTGCGCTCCAATATCCCTCTAGCACCCCGGCATGCGCAAATATCTTCTACGTGATCGGTAATTTCGATCCTATTCGTCCTTGCACAACTTTTGAGCGTGATTCGGAGTCACCCTGAACAAGCACCTGATGTACCTCAATGACCTGCCATATAGCTTTTAAAGTTCCTCCAAAATGGCAGCGTTTTTGATACTGTGCATGCTGTCCACCCTTCAACCTTGATGGGCTGCAGAAATCTCTTATATTATTATCATTTTCCTACAGCTTCAAAGGCGCACATATTAAGTTAGAAACACTAAAAATGGTACAAACAGCGCCGCGGACTCCGACCTAAATCCTGGTTTTTGTTGTGGCGACTTGTCGGCTTCTTAGGCAATTCGTGCTAAGAGAACAATCACGAGAATGATAATATTGTAAGAGATTTGTGCAGCTCAGCCAGGCTGAAAGGTGGATCGCATGCACAGTATAAAAAATGCTGACATTGACGAGAAATTTTAAAACCGATATGACGGGTCCTTGGGGTATATCAGGTGCTTGTTCAGAGTGACTCCAAAATACGCTCAAGAAAGGTGTAACCATGGAATTGGTCGAAATTAGCGATCACTAGCGTCGTGCCTTCCAGTTTTACAGCGTTCCCTGGGACCGTGATCACATCGCGGTCCCCGGGGCTTCGGTCTTCGACATGACGGCTTCAACGTCCTCGGCGGCGCCGTCCAAGGCGCAGTGTCTCGTCATCAACGTACCGGTGGACACGCCAGTGGACGCCATCATGGACGCGTTCCAACACGTGGTCGGCGACGCCGGCCTTCCGTACCTTAGACACCATGGTGGTGCAAGGTTTACGGCAGCGGTCAGCTCCATGGCCGCAACCCAACGTTTGGTACCACAGGGACACCTGTTGCTCGGTGACGTCCAGATCCCACTCCAACCGGTCCAGGCCCACGTCGTCCACATGTCGGTTTACCGACTCCCGCCGTGCGTAACCGAGGACGCCCTCGTCCAGGCCCTCAGGCAGTACAGAAGGTAAAGGGTTTGAGCCACGTTACCTACAGTGACCGACCGGACAACCGTACGGGCACGGTGGTCAAGCTGAAGATGGCCAAGCCTGTCCCCAAACTTCATCTACGGCCGCAGAGTCATGGTGCACTATCGAGGCATGCGCCGGGTCTGTAGCCGCTGTGGTCAGGAGGGCCATTTCGGGCCCGCCTGCAAGACTCTCCACTGTGACAGGTGCGGCGTCTTCGGGCACCCGACAGAAGGATGTGCTGCGCCCTGCCAACGCTGCGGCCACGCCCACGCCACCACAGACTGCGTTGAGCGCAAGACGTACTCGGCAGCTGCTAGAGATTCCTGCCGTAGATCTCCGCCATCGGTCAGCACCCCCACCCACCTGCGACTCAAGCTTTCGGTCCCTCTGAGCAGGCTAAGCCGCTTTCCGCAATCACCCGCTTGCCCACTACCCCCGGCGTCTACCCACCGGCGGCAGAGCCCTCAACCACCGATGTGCTTCCTGCGCACGCGGAAACATCGGCCCAGCGTTTTCTGCAGGTTGGTGACGACAGACAAGACCTCCTCATTGCCGAGGACGCCACCCCGAGTCCCCTCATCGCCTGCCTCAAGGCAGCTGAGATCGCTGAAGTCACCCCGGGCCAAGGGAACCCTCCTCCGTCACCTACGTTGCCTCCGGCTTCGGCATCCCCCGGCACGTTAGTGCCGCAACCGGACAGCGACGCGTCTGTGGACCCAAGGTCTGACGACAACGACGCCATGTGCTGCGACCGTCCTGAAACAAAACGCGGCCTCACAAGCACCAGCAGCCCGTTTGACGCCCCCGGAACCTGGACGAAGAAGAAACGCCTGGGTCACGCCAAGCCATCGGACTCGGAGGGCATTTCCGACTCTCTGGTCTTCTAGTGCGGTATGCTCGCGTAAATTGTTTTTTTTTTTTTTATGAGTTTTATTTTTGTGGCAATGCTCCTGCGTGTCCTCACGCTGAATGTCCAGGGCTTTAGAAACCCCAATAAACAGCGTGAGGTCGTTCACTTCGCGCGCTCAGTTGGTGCAGACCTTGTCTTTTTACAAGAAACCATTTTTTTTTCTGCACGCGAAAGCACTGCTTTTCGTGAACGCTTCCTCCTTGGCTGTTCTTTTTTTTTTTTTTCGGAGACACGCGCTGTTGCGGCGCTGCCGTTCTTATCTTGCCTCGAGCGCTCAGTCAAGGATGTAATAGCAGTTTTGATCGCGCTGGTCGCGTCTTTGCTTTTGATTTCTTTTTTGGTCAGCATCGCTTGCGCGCGGTGAATCTGTGTGCGCCCGCGCATATGTCTTTATCGAATGGCTTTTTTCGAAAGTTAGACGCATATTTGTTGGAGTCCCACCCCTTTTTGGCCTTTGAGAAATTTTAACTGTGTTTTAGACACTCACCGCGATGTTCAGGGTCCAGGTCAGGGTAGGGCCAACTGGAATGCTCGTAAGCTTGATCGCCTGGTTGAGCAGTTTGACTTACGAGAAGACGCTTGGTGCGAGTAACACGGCTCCTCTTTTGCGCCCACGTGGTCTTGTGCGGGCTTGAGCAGTCATTTAGACCAGTTGTACTTCCCAACCTGGCTTGCTACATGTCTCACTAGATGTGAGACCCTTTCGTTTCCTCCTGCGCCGGGGTACATCTCGAATCGTCGTCCTGTCCTGATTTCCTTGTCCGTTCCTAGGGGCGAACAGCCTCGCTGCATTTCCTGGCGGTTTTGACTTGCGGCTTCTTCGGGATAGGGAAGCGGTTTAGTCACTCCGCCAAGCGCTCACTGTGGCACAACGTGTCATGGGCCCGGATTCTGCGCGTTTGGACAGCTTGAAGGTGTTCTGGTGTTCTCTGTGCGTCGAAGAGGGAGTGGAGTCGGCGCCAACTCTCTCACTAGCTCAAAGAGGTCCTGCGACGCATCTAGATCATTAAGCGCGGTGGTACCTCCACGCCCCTCGTGACTGAGTACTTGAACCTGTTGCGGCCAAGGTACTCTCGCCTTCTGCGGGAAAGTTCAGGAACTGCGGCATTGCAGCCCTGGAACAGGCGTCCCGTGTCAGACCCTGAGGTCCTCCGCTACCTTCGCGTCTCTCGAGGCCACGGGGATCGACCGGGCTGGGTTCCGTCTTTCACCACACCAGATGGCTTCTAGTCGTCCCATCCGCCTGATATCGTGAAAGTTTTCTTCGAACATTTTGCAGCCCTTTTCCCGGTGGAAAATTACTCCTCCCGGAACAGATCCGATGTCCTCTTCCAAGAGTCTTGTGGTTCCTTACCTCAA